GTGCTCAGAATTGGAAGTCCTGAGTCCGGCCCAGAGGTCCAGTCTCATATTTCTTCAATTCCTCAGTTCCATGGCTCTCAGGACCCTCTAATATAGAATATTTTGAGTCTATAACTTTTATTAATGAGCTCGGCAGACATATTTCTGGCCTAAATACGAGGGTGCACCCTTATTTGTGGCAAGTCAGATAACTGGGCTAAGTTCTTTTCCATGAAAAAAATTCACTCCTGTCATGGAAAATTCTTAATGTTAATTTTGCAAAACGTTCCATTGTCTCCGGCTTTGTAAGCCGTATAGGCACTTTTTGCGGCTGTTCAAAAATCAAATCTCACGAGTTTTCCCTGAGTTCGTGTAAAATCCTGATGAGGAGGTGGTGTGTGATTCTGTTCCAAGAACAATGTTCTTGGGTCGTGTTCCCGCCGTTCGAGCGTGAGAACACGAAACCTGTGTCGACTCAAGCACAGGCCGCCACTGCAGAACTTGACCAAGTCCGACTTGACAGATAAGCCAACTTATCGGATCCTCGTCGTGAATATGTAGTTATTCGTAATTGAATTTGAACGACATGATCTTGCATAATGTATACAGAATTTTCACCAATCAAAGTAGTCAGACCTGTAGCCGTTCATTAAATGCAGACATAACGACGTAAAAACAAGTCCGGCAATATGATTGGCTGCTACCACTTTTGGTAGATAAGCCCATTGCTGTGCACAAACGGTTGGCAGACTCGTCGTCGAGTTCGGGCGGCCTGTTCTTGACACGGGTTTCTTATTCTCGCGTTCGAAAGGCGGGAACACGACTCAAGAACACTGTTCTCGGAACAGGACCACACACCATTTCCTCGTCTGGGTTTTATAGGAACACACAGAAAAAATCGTGAGATTTGATTTTTGAACAGCTGCAAAAAGTAGAGAGATGGCTTCCAAAGCTATAGTCAATGTAGACAATAGGAAGTTTTGCAAAATTAACATTAATTATTTTCCGAAACACAGAAATGAATGTTCCTGTTTATATAGTGAAGTCGGGATTTCTGAACTGAACTCTCGTAATAAGTGGACACAAGAGGGCGCGAAGCAAGAAACGGTCTCCACATATGAAATCAAAGTATAACCATAGAGCTACAACTAACAGATCCCGACTTGAGTCGACTCTAACATTCGTAGAATGGCTCAAGACTTGAAAATAGCTGCCCTTAATATGTTGTATTAAGGGCCCAGATAAAACTTAGGAAAAAATCAATAGAAACGAATTTAAAACAATTTAAAACAGATTAACTTAAGTTAATAATGGAGAAAAATAAACCAGAAACTGAATAGCAGTCGCTTTTTGAAGGAAGGAAAAGGAAGTACCCTAAGTTCGCCTTTACCCCTCCCCCAGAATACCCCACTCTAAACTCTATTCACTTTTGCAGTGGTGAATCCCCGACCTCTGGTCTGTATTTCACGAGAAAAAAGGGTGTGTCACGATATACGGGTGGTTGACCTCCATCTCTCATAAAATTAATGGGGGCGCTATGATCCACAACCGTGCGTGACTCTACGTGTTGGAATTTGAACCCGCTCCACCCATACTAATCCCAAACACATCACATTGTCACTTAAACTACTTAATAAGTTATGTTTATAATAAGGTCCTTTTTCGTTTCACCAGTTCTGAGGATCTATTCGTGAACGGTGAAGTACAAATGCTCTTCCATGGAAAAAATTCTGTATCAATTCGTTTTTTTGCACGAGCCACGCAATTGACCTGCAACTGGTCTCATATATCAATTTGACATTTTTGGTGTCTCAAAGTGTGTATCAACTACTACAGGGCACCAGTGATTCAGTTCAGCGAACAGGTGTGTGTCGTACCTGTACGTACGTACATGTACATGTACGTAAATGTATACATGTGCGTGCGTGATACGGGTGACTGATTATGTTGACGTCGGATTCCCGAGAAGCGGTCGGTGTAGTGTCTGTTTTGTGCACTGTCTTGCCTTCATGTATCCTACTTCGCTACGGATGACTTCCGGAATTCTTGAGGTTAAAGCTGAATGTTAGTGCAGCCACGTCTCAAATAACATCATCACTTGTCATGTAGCGACGTGCCAAATTGCGTCCGTTTCGCACTGGGTCTTTTTACAATAATATTTGGCTGTATAATTCCGTGAGAGACCACGGCGTTAAGCCTAAACGCCAAATCTGATCACCAAGGATTCCGAGTGGAGGGGACGGAAAGATTTCGGCTGCCGAGATGTTGGAGAACGGTGGCTCGGAAAATAAGGACACCGGTCCACGAAGAAAGGTACTGTTTGTTTATCTGATTGTGTCCACTGTGACTTACTTGCCTCCTCTTACAATGTTTTACGGCAGCCACCACCAACTACGGTAGGCCTATGGCCCACAGTGATTTGTAAACAATGAGTTGTCAAACTGTACTTTGATTTTTACATGGTGAAATATTGTACGTGGCTGAGATATCCTTTAACATGCAACCCTTCAGTACCAGATTACTGTTGCTGTTGCAAAGATTGTTGCATATCTCCTGTGTTGTTACTACCATATTTTCATTTAGAAAAAGAACATATTTGGGATACATAGTTACTTTAACATGTAATGTATGCCACATGTACACAGTAATTGGTCTTTCAGGTTTCCACATACTCTTTTCAACGAGATAATTTCATAGTGCCTGCTTATTACACACATGTACATGTACACATGTACGTACATACTGCACATACATGAACACTGGTACATGTGTATGTACCATACATTTGCTGGTACCAATATGAACACTTGGCAGGTAATAATATTGCATTGGGCACATATCAATTACATGAAGCACCTGTTCATTTGCACATCACTAAAGTTAAACGCACCATGAAAAATTCTTCTGTCATTTGTGTCCATTACCACTGCTTTGACCAAAGTAAAAATTCAGAGCCGCAAAGTGACAGATGGTAATTTTCATCACAGCGTTGGTAACTAAGGCACAGAAGGATCTGACAACATTGTTGTAGAGTTTGCTTTTCACCCTTTAGGTGGAAATTTATGACTTTAAAGGGCTTTCCACACGACAAATTTCGAGGTCAACACAGGGTTGAAAACTGGCTACCATTCACACCTGACAATTTTCAACCTTGCGCCAACCCTGCGCAAGGGTTGGCGCGAGATTGATTTCACCCCGGGTTGAACTCAACCCTGCTCTGGACCAGGGTTGACAATTTTTCACCTGGGTTGAAAATTTTTTTCGTGCTCATTTCCGGGTTGAACTCACCCTGGTAAGTTCAGTTCTTACTAAAAAAGCATGAAACAACACCAGGTTGAAAGTTGGCTTGAAAAGTCAAATTTTCCATCCAGGGCAGTCATAGGTTCACCCAAGGTTGAGTTCATCTGAGTTGTGAGGTTATAGTGTGAAAAGGCCAGAAGAGAGGTTTGCTGGGTGTTGAGCCTGCTGGGGGGGGAGGGCACTTGGTACCCAGGGGTCCACAGAATGCTGTTTACATTTGTAAGCATAGTGAAGCTGGTCCTGATTGCTTACATTTATCCTAATCTGATCTCCCAGGTCCTTCAAAATCTACGAGTGCCTTATGGGGATTTTTCAAAATGTTGGAAGACATACCGTATTTAGCCGACTATTTTTCATGTGGCTTGGTGCCCCTAAATTCCCTGGAAAGTCTAAAATGCCAGTTGGGTCTAGCAGAATGGGTTCGATAATTCGTATTTGGAGGATGCAGGAAGATACAGTACACATGTACATGTACCTTGTTAAATTGCCGGGTACATGCATTCTTCTTGTAGACTATGTTGGTGGTTCGACTTGTACACAAGTGCACACACCCACATTAACTCACTGCATGTCATGTTCAAAGTCCTCAATCACAAGAGTAAGTGTTGAACAGTTTGTGTGCGGCAAAGATTTATGTACCGGTAGAAGCTCATCATTCACAGGCATTCATTCACAGGCATTCATTCACAGGCATTAGACATCAAGCATGATTTACTGCACTTGTACATGTAATTTAATCATCTACCGGTATTATCGTTTAAAACATTGACGCACCATGTACACTGTGTAAATAGCATAGTGCCATCCATTTTCACAAGAAAAAAATCATCAATCTAATAAAATGAATTTGCCCGTCATGTTCAAAGCTCAATAAGCTAGAGTGAACAGAAGAACCATAAACTCACCAATATATCCCATAGGACCTTATCTGGCTTCATCTGGCAAGGTCACTAATTACAAGTTTGCAGATTTCAAGGGTCCGGTTGTTTGACTTGTTGCAGTCCAATGAGAGTTATGCACATGGTATGAACAGGAACCTGCTGTCTCCGGTCATGGCGGTCCCTACTGAATAAGTGTGAACAATTACTGATATGTTTAAATGACAAACATTCTAAATTCATTCAGAAAATTCATTCAAATATTATGGGTTTTTTTTTTAATTTATTTTATTCCCACAAGTTAACATATCCGGTTTTATTGTCAGTCAAACAGTTCAGTTAAAAAAAACAGTTCTTGATCACCTGTTAGGGCCAATGGGGACTTGATATTTGAAGTAATCATGTGTTAATTTCTTTTATTGGGCATCTACATGTACATGGTATGTTATTGTAGTTTGTTGCCATTTTCTGATTCTGATGTACATTTCATCTGGCAAAGATATGTACACAATGCATTTGCTACATGCACAGGCACATGTATCCGTGTGCAGGAAACCAAATTGACGGATACTGGTGGCACAGGTACGTTGTAGCTATGAGATCAATCAATCAAGCAAGCAATTAAGGAAGCCATTGATTTTTAATTAATACAGGCTTCTGGTTTCATTTGCTGCACACATGTACATGTACCTGTGGTCTTTTACATGTGAAGCTGGTTGTACCCAAGAAGAGAGTAAATTTGCAGAACTCTTAGAAACAGAAGCAGATCTTTCTTTGCGTGTGCTTTGTACACAAAGTTTGCAGTGCGTACTGTACATGTACATACACCTTACAGTGCAAATAGCCCAGATGTGTGATAGCATTGAAAGTTTGGGTCAGTTCCTATAATTTCTTGACTATTTTTGATATTAGACATGTTTCACTATCTGCCTTGGGGAAAAGTGACTTTTTTAAAGTACAGATCTGTACCGGTACCTTTCTGGGGTTTGTTAGTTTTCATTCCACTAACAGACAAGTTTGATTTTTATCACGTTGTGTCAGGTTGTGTCAGGCGGTTCTCCTTGGCGCTGTCATGTTTAATTAAGATTAGTTTTGCTGATCTTTGAAAGGACTGTTTGAGCCATTACTCTCCTAGTTCCGACAGATACAGAATTTAAATTTTATTTTTTTGTATTGACCGGTAGATTAAAGTACATGTACATACATGTACATTACATGCACAAGTACATGTACTTACATGTACAGTAGGTTTGGCATTTTGTTTAACGTGAACAGTTGAGTATGTCCGTGTTTCTGCATAAAGTATTGAAGATGCAAATTAAATGTAATTTATTGTAGAAAAGTCTTTAACTAAAGATATGGGTTGAATGAATAGTAATAAAACTTCCATCATGAGACTGACTTTAAAAATTACCAAGTATGCACAAATGTGTATGACATCAGCTACATGTACAAGCAAAGTAGCAGTCTGTCCTGAGCCAGTGTCTGTCTCTAGTTTCCTTGGCCGAGAAGATTTCTATTCTCCTGGATGGGATGCCAATCCACAGTTTGATGCCAACTCCCCAGCTAATGCCAGTGCCTTTGTACTGTACAGGTACATACATGTATATAGTACATGTATCTTGTCAACTCATGGGTGGAAAGAGGCAAGTACTAGCATTGTGCTTGGTGAAGTGTCTTGCCCAAGGCTATAACACCCCAGCAGCTGGACTTAAACCCCTGACCCTTTAACCACTGGTGGCAGAAGCCACTGTCCCCCTTCCATCCCACTTTGAGAGGTGGTCCTGCCTCCACTTTTGGCATGTCCCATAATAGGGCTGGGATAATGGATCGACCTACGTATCAATGGCTGATGCCTCATACCTGATGATGGTCTCACAACTCCCCTCCCCCCCATTGAAAATCTTTATGCCACTGCTGCCTCTAACCATCAGTCAAAAACTGTAATCACTAGGTCATATGCCCTTATATGTCATCAGCTTGATGTACTGTACTGTACCTGGTGCATTTAAGCTGTGAATGTCAAAAGGTATTTCTATAACTTGGTCTGTTGTCATAAGGACACTGAAGGATGAAGTGCCTTAGAAATGTTCACAGGATCTTTCCACTCATTATACCGGTATGTATAACGTGTACTCTAGATGTACGAGTGCTTAGCAAACTTCTTTTCATTTTTCATCTTCCCTGCTAGGGATGCGATCCTCTAGCACAAACTGTCAGAGGCAAACTGCAGAACAGGAGGCAAAAGCTGAATGGTCAGATCAACAAGGAGATGCGGATGAGGGCTGGGGCTGAAAACCTCTTCAGGTAGGTTTGGTTTCAAGGTGTTAAATCATGTCCCAGTCCAGTACCTCAAGGGAATTTAAAAGCAGAGAATATTTCTTATATTTACTGTTTTGCTTTGCTCAGTGTGCATGATGAACCTGGCTTCATGCAGATTGCTGGTGGATGAGCAGGTGCTGAGATTTCTGATGTGCAGTAAAAAAGTTTTATCAGAGATGCATGTACACTTTTTGTACATGTACGGTTTCACTGTAACCAAATTGTGTCACTTAAATTACCTGACAATATCAAACATGTGATTTGCAATGAAAGAAAATTTCTAGCGTCACTGTGAAGCCCATGCCTGGACGGATGGATGGATGGTAAATTGGAAACAGTGTTAATCTATTCTGAAATTCACCCTACCCTACCCGGTACACGTATGTACAGTAAGTCGATACTAGCGTTGCCTGTACCCATAGTTCCACTTTAAAAGATGTGATTGATTAAGAGGTAAATTTACACCGGCAGTGCATGTATACCGGTAGTACTCAACTTGAACACGTCAGTCAATCTGTTGTTTTCTAATCTAAGGACCTTTGAGCTAGCTGGTGAAATAAATCCAGAGGTGCATCTGATAATCAAGAATAGAATGCCATGGAAGCTTGCAGAGCAGATCAAACTGCAAGATAACTCACAACAAATGGTTACATGTGTATACACGTACATGTATGTACATGAACATGTACAGTATTTGCATGCCCAGTGGAAGCTGCGTGCTTCAGTAGAGGTGATGCACACAAGATTGCTTGTATCGATTTTTCTCATTTTGAGCTATAAAATGTAGTTGGACGTTCTCTGTGTGATTACTCAGTGATGAGTGAAGTGTTTCCTTCCTTCATGATTTTAACTGATTGGTTCGACTCAAAATGCATGGTGACAGTGCTAAAGCCTTGACGCTTCAGATTCTGTTATACAGCTCCCGTACATTTTAATTTTCACGAGTGCTGTTTTCGATATTGATGTTTGCACAGTTTTTACTAATGGTCTATAGAACAAATGAACGAAACCAAACTAAATGAGGATATGGCTATTTGAAATGGATGTGAAAATGTCCCAACTGAAGCTTTCTCTGAGAACATGCCTAGTTACCGGTTACTAGCATTACGTACAGTGTAGTACATGTGTATTTTGTACATATGTAACTAATACTTTCACTAATACTAGTATAGAAAACCTCTATGTTCATGTACAAGTGAAATCTGTAATTCAACAAAACATACAAATCTGCATGTACTTGTACTAATAGGTATGGAAGGCCATGCTTTTGGCTTCGAGTTGACCTTGAAATCTCTCTTTCAGGGTACTTTTTTTTTATTAAAAATAAAAAAATTGGCCCTGGCCCTTCAAGAACAAAATATTTCAAGTGTACAAAAAATTGCTTTGAATGAATCACTTTGTGAAATTTGGGGACTCCTGATAAGCATATATAAATAAGCATATATGTAAAAAATGGATTGAGCCTGTTGGCTTGTAAACAGTGTGGACTGTACGTGTATGGGTACGGTACATGTGTTCTTTTTATTTCTTCAGTTTATTTATTTTATTACACTTTCCACTGGCCGACAAAAATAATATTATTACAAAATATATATAGTATCAAAATTACATTTGTAAGCTTTTGTGCTGATATATTTGATAAAGTGCCTGGCATAAACAGCCACAGTGTACATTTGAAAAGATTGATAAAACCCACTTGCACTGAAAACACCTGCTACCTTTGGTTGACCCACCTCCATGGCAACCAAGGCTACTTACTACTTGGTTCTGAAAACACCTTTTTGACTGTAAATTATGATTTTATGTTTTCTTCACCTAAGAAATAGGCTAAAATGGTTGTTGCAAGTTGGTGACGCATGCAGTAACAGTTAATGGAAGAGACTCAACCTGATAATTAATGTAGCGTTTTCAGGTTTCCATTGTGCGCCGGACCAAAAGTGAAAAAAATAGTACCATACCATACGTATTTGGCATTTCATATAACTTATAAGTCAGCTTTATGGGTCTGAGTTACTGGGAAGTTTTCCTTTTTTCGTTGACGTTTCAGTTTTACTCACATTCCTGTCAGGGATTGAGGGCACTTGCATTTATCAATGCTTCCTGTGTTTCATCACAGAGCCAGTGGTTTGTGGGTCAATAAACATTAGGTGGTAGTGCCATACATGAAGACAAACACAGGAGGAATGCCTACATGCCCAACATGACTGAGGGGCATTATACACTGCTTAGGGCCTATTCATGTACGGTTTGTGGTGAGACATTAGTCATTCACAAAGGAATTTTATTTTCGTGGAATCTGAGCGGAAGGAACCTGTCCTCACAGATTTTATGACAAGAAATATAAGAGACCATGCACATGTAAAAGTACAGTACATGTACCGGTATACATGTACTGTACATGTACATGTCCCAAGTGCAAGGTGCTAGTACAGACATGTTCTTTGGTGAATTTAGTACACTTGTACATGTATGTATGTCTCTGCACAGTGGATGTACATAAATTTGTTGCTGTACTGCATACGTACATGTACATACATGTATGAATTACAGGGCATGCCTGCGTGGTTGAAAAAAAAATGAATTTTTGTTGTTCATATACATGTATTGTAGGCCTGTATACATGTACCGGTACGGGCACTTAATGATTGGTACATGTACATGTACATATCAAGCAGCATGGTGCTTTTGTGTGGGATGGTTATGGTTGGACCATAGAGCTACAATGGTTGGACATACCTGTACATGTGTTACCACCACCATAAAAATCGTGGTTGGTAAACGTAAAGTTACCCGGTTGATTTTCCCATTTCTGGAAGGTGTGGGGAGGAACAATACCCTGACTTTCCACAGAAAAATTAAGGATAATCTAATAAGACCATCTAAAGCCTGATGTACATGTACAGTGGACTTGCACCGGTATTTGGGAGTTTAAAATGGGAAATGTTGGACTTAAAAAAAATTGACCGTACTTCTAAATTTATGTGTGTACCGGTACTTGGCTGGCTCCTGTGGATGAAAATTCATTTTACACTCAAGTAAATCTGTTCAGTTGTCCTGGAATTTATTGAGCCCCCCGCAACCGTTGTTCTCCTTGTATACGGTATTTTCTGCCACATATTTTTCATTGTCATCATGGACCCTCCCAATTGTTGGGCCTAAGGCAGACGTGAAATCACACAATAGCTCTGAGTATTGCTCCAAGTATTACTGAGAATCACCCAATGTCAGCCAAGGTCTCTGGCCCATTGACATATGCATTTGGCCAGGGCTGTGTGAAAGGATGTCCTTGATAATGCCAACCTGATAACAAGAGCTTTTTGTGATGTCATATAGCTCTTTGTTGATTTGATTTCCATGGGAATCAAAGAATAATAATTATTTGGTGTTATTAAAACTTGCACCCCTTCCTTTTTCAAGTTGAAGCCATGATGAACCAGAACCAGTAAGATTAAACTGGAAGGTCTGATTGTTGGCGTAAATGTACAGTACGTACATGTAATCAGAAAAAGACGGTTGCAAAAAGTGTGTTCCCAAGGGAAGTTCTCATGACTGCACTGGGTTCGATGGTAGAGAGTGTGATTCTTCCCTGATTTAAATCAGTTCAGCTTCTATCTTAATTCATCATGAAAACCAATTAAATTTTCTTTAAGTGTCTTGCTTTTTCTGCCATATGGGTCTATATTCTCCTGTTTTCAGTCTTTCTTAATAGCATGCAGAAGTTAAAAGCCTTGACTGAAGCTCAAATAATTAGGCCTGTATTAATATGTTAATTTATCACATGTAGATCAACTAAAACACTAAATTTAGAAAATGTTTTCTTAAAAGTGCGTTCCTCAAAACAGCTTGTACATGTTCGACATTAAATGTTAAATTGACTCCAATACATACATTTAGAGCTTCAAATGTATTTCGCACTGCTTCCTTGCATTTGTCTGATTTGCACACATGCTTCTGCCTTCTGAAAATCTCGGATCTGCCTCTAGGGTTATTTTCTGCTGGGCCCAATGTACATGTAGATTTTACACTTGAACCTTGTGGCCAGACAGGAATGTGAGAAGTGCACATTTGTTTGGATTGCCAAGTTGAGAAGGTCTTGTGAGTAAATGGTCCTTGGTGAAAACTAGGCGCTTACAGACACCCTCCCTGTGTGACCTTTAGGCCTTTGTGACCTTGTATTCTTGTGAATAGAGAACAACTTTCCCATGCAGTACATGTACGTGAACCCCCAGAAGCCAAGGGTCAAGTTATAAATTTTATGAACCAAGCTACATGCAGGTGTTGTTTCCTGTACCAGGCCCCATCAGTCAGAAGCTCTCCTCTGGGATTCATTGTTGACTTCCCCAAATGCCTACAGTTACATAATGTACCTTCTTTGGATGATTTGTTTTAATTTGAAGCTTGTGGTATTGCGCATGTCTAAGGTGCTTACACTACATTGCAAATTTGGAAAGTTAACACTACATGGGAAAGTTAACTCAAGTTAACACTTTTGTGAAAACAATTAGCGTTCACGTTTGCATTTTGCAAGGCATTAAAATCTTTTCCCACTGGTGTGAAAAAGGTATGGAAATGTTTCCCGCTGTGGGAAATAGTTTTCACATTTCTTGAAAATGAATTCCCTGAGAAGAGATAAAGAGTTGAAGCATTTCACTTTCCCAGGCAAACTTTCAGTGTAGTGTACATGTATGCCTGAACATGTATGCCTGAACATGTATGCCTGAACATGTATGCCTGAACATGTACATGTATGCCTGTACATGTATGCCTGAACATGTATATTACACAACCTGTTCACATACAGTGTACCTACATGTGTATTGTGCACATTTGGTATGTTACAATCATCACCCATGTTTCAAAGGATGTGTATAGTGCTAACTTTCTCAAATTTGATTTGGTAAATACTGCACATCCATGTTTATACATGTATACTATAAGGTTTAGGTTCTTGATTTAGTTCTTAAAAATTTGTTAAGTTCCAGTTAACAGTTTCAATATGATTAGAATGTGAGTGTGTGTCATTGGGTACAAACCGGACAGCATGGTACCGGTACATGTATGTACAGGTGTTGGACCACCATGTGTTTTGTACAGCAGTTATTGTGGGAAAAAGAAATGTAGTGGGATTATTTGAAAGCTACGTGTATCACAGCTCAGTCCAGATTTTCCTAACAATAGAAATCACCACACAGGGCGGGCCTATTTAGAGCATAAATTAGTACAATGTACACAGTTTGTGTATACATACATGTACATGTACTAGGCCTTGAGTGTGTTGTTTGCTGTATTGTTGGGGGCAGAAGTTACTAGCCATGCTTGTGAATTTCCAAAATGTTCCTGTTTGCTCAGATGGCAAGAGAAAATGCAGATTACGCTATTGATTCTGAAATGAAGACGGGTTAAAAAAGGGTTTCTCCCTGAAGTTTACGGTAGTTCAGTACTTGGTCATTGAGTTTTGGGGCTCTGAACTTGTATGGAAATTACTTCTGCAGACAAAAAGGAGCAGCACAGACAGTGTAATTGCTCCCGTTGAGTTGACCTCAATTTTGAGTCTCGATTGTGCATGTGGGTCCTATATTTGTATCATAGTGCTGCTTATGTAATGCAGATCATGCAAACTTGCTCCGGAATTGTGGGGACAAACACGCAATGTTTCACCTATTTTGTGGGGACCGCACAATGTTGTGGGGACAGAGAAATGTCCCCACAACTTGCCTAATTTGCCTTGCCAAAGAAACAGTCCCTGAAGCTGTTGAAAGCCGACCCAGAAATTCAAAGTTTATGTGTGTAGTGATATCAGGCCCATATGTGGGCTTTGTATACTGCATTATATGATGCATAGCCACCCATTGGGGTACGTACATGTACATGTATATGGGCTCACATGTACAGAACAAGTCTGTGTGAGGTGGAGCGTAATCCTATTTATAAATTTGGAGTGAGATGATCTTTATAAGCAATGCTTATTGTGCATGTACATTTACATGTGTGTGTGTTGATCTAAAAGTAAAAAGATTTATTGTTTCCCTCATGAGAACATGGAGCTAGGTATGTACATGTACAATGTACTGGTACTGCACCTGCATCTACATCTACATCTACATGTAGGCCTATGTGGACCGGTATCAAACTAGATCCTGTAACTGGGACGTTATGCCGTTTTAACAGTTTTTGACTTTGACGGTCTTACTAGCACCGCAGTGAAAAAAAACCCAGTTTTTAGGGCAATGTTGCTGTTGCAAATGCCTCTCGAAAAATATAGGTTTGAATATAAAGGTTCGGAAAAGTTAAAATACGTCATTGTTGAACCTATCATTACTTTTGACTCCTTGCTATGGCCCCTTGTTAATTCAGGGTCATCGGGATGAATGGAAAGAGCCCAGACAGTATAATTTTGATTTAGTTCTTGCAGATACGGGTACATATTCCTGTTTGTCTCATTTAACCAAATTTTCACTTTTGTCATGCCATTAACAGCACTTACCAGTAGGTATCCTGATTTTAATGGTAATTAATACAAATTTGCATATTTCATGAGGTAGTGATGTCATTCAAGGCAGAAACCTCACTGTGACATTTGTTTCTGTTGTAAAATTTGGCCAGATTTAGGATATGTTGCTTTCCTAAATTTTGTTTTCTTTGATGACGTGTTGTTGAGCTGTGGGGGAGGGCAAGATTTACTCTCCAAATTTTTTCAGTGAGCAAATGTTGTGTTCACAATTTAAACAGAAAACAGGAGATGCTGTGTCTTCCCTTAATGACAATGCAGCAACAGCACCCTAATAATTGCCATGAAAAGCATCCGTGGAATTGTTTTAATTTTTTAAAAGTGATCTTTTCATTGAGAGAAACCAAAAATGAAATGTCAGTTCTCTTACATTTAAGAGGAGTTAAAAGTTGCACAAAATATGTTCCCAAGAAAAATTCAGCTGAAAGATCATTTATTAAAGATATAATTGTTCAGAAGACTTCACCCATCATGGACATGTACATGTAGGACATGAATTTCGAGGGCATATTATATAAACCTGCCATACTGTAGTTGCGTTGTGTTCACATACATGTACAGTGTACGCTGTACAATCCAAAAGTACTTGTCAGTGCTGTTTTCCTTGATGTTTGGATTGATTGAGCATTTCTTTTGTCATTTTTCTGTCTGGTACCTTTGCTTTAGATTGCTGTATACAGTGTCAAGCACCAGTGATTGCATGTACACATACATGTACCGGTATATGTCTCACGTACATGTATGTGTACGTGTACATGTGCTTGTTCCAGTATGTGAACTGTTACGTTTGGGAAAGTGAAAAGCAGTGTGCAGAAAAGTACATGTTACTGGATGTGTCAAGAAATTGACATTCCAAAATGAACAAAGTCACGAGCAAGCTGTGCATTGGACATCAAGCCTTTGTAGGCCAAACTTGCATGTGTGTTGTGCCAAAATGGGAACAGTACATTTTTAATCTACTCATGTATTTGCCTATGAACAGTGCACTGGTGTCTCCCAAATCTTGTTCCTTTCTTATAATAATCAGTTAGCAGTTGTATACAGGTATGGGTGCGTTGCTCAAAAGTTGAAAAATTCACATCTATCCAAATTGATTGCAATAAACTAAGAAAACATTAAACACATTTGATTGCATTCATGCACATGTACGTGGGTGTACACTTCACATGACGTACATATTGGCTTTTTCTAAAGGGCAGTGTTTCCTAAGCTGCATTGTGGCTGGTCTCAAGTTTAATCTTGTGAGCAAATGTTGTTCCCGTGTGGCATATTGTATTCGATTTCTAACCATCAACAGCACTTCAGTGTCCCTTGTGCATTGTTCATGTACCAATAGGTTTGACATTTGATGTAGGCATATTCTGAAGAAGTCCGTGTGTAATGTTATTTTGTCAGTGTTGGGCCCGTGGGCAGGATGGGTACACCATACTCGCTAGGATGATTTGGACATTTGCCTGCATCTTCCTTTTTCAAAAATTCATGTTAGCGTGGGACTGGATAGCAGGGGATGTCAGCTCTAAGTGACACTCGGGTGGATTAACGCTGTGTCAAAACCGCATGTTTTATTCAGTGGAAAGCTTCAGCTATCCCTCCTCGTAAGTCCCAGTCCTGGGGGATTGGGAATAAATGATGGAGCCATTTATCCAACACTTTGAGGTTTATTCACGTATACATGAAAGCAGCATCTTACTTTGCCGATTTTCTTTGTGACTGGATTTTGTTTGACTAGATGAATATAAGAAGTAAAAACCGTCATCTAAATGTCAGTGATTTGTTTTGTGAACATAATCCTCTATGGAAACTGTCCTGAATGTTCTTTTGCCTCACAGTACACGTGTGACGCTGTATTACAATGTACGTGAGCAGTAAGAAACATCCATGTAATGTGTGACACTGTCTTCATGCTAAGTGCTCATACAGGCATAGGGCCTATACACGTACGTACCGTACATGTACATGTACCATATGTGTGTTTACGTTACATATCTAATGTGGATGGTCCTTTCCTCTTGTGTCGTTAAGAGAACTCAGTGAAATTAATAATTTTTCTCAGATCTTTTTAAGCTGGATTTTTGATGCTGGTTTCCAGAACTGTTTCTCTTTTCCTTTTTTTGAGTAACCCCGCCGACCTCAAAATGCCTCTTACTTACATAAGTGGACTTGCTTAGTCCCCCTACCAGTAAGGTTCACACAACCCGCATTGTCATGATTGTGTGGGCTGGTTTTGTTCTCATGTCAAAGCCAAGCAGAGACGACAAGGTTACCAAACCTGTACCCAGGCTCATTGAAAAGCAAAGCTTGGTGTTATTTCCTGGTGGTCTCACTGTGCACCCTTATCCTGAGTGTTTGGTAATTGTTATTTTTATCAAAATTATCATTACATGTGCTGTTTGTTTTTAGTTCAATGAAAACACCAGGGAGGGGGGAGGGATAGCTGTGTGTTCTTAATTCCCCCCTCCCCTCCCAGCTCTCTTTCAGGGCAAACATTTTGGCGATACCATCTCCCCCTCCCATTTCCCCCAGTTTTGCTTTGGCATCAAAATTATTCACATCCGACATACCGTACATGTATACTGTCTGTGCTAGGTTTTAAATTGTAACACAGAGTCTAACAAGCACAAACTCTAGCTTGGCTATGAACATATACATGTACAAACAGAGACAAGTCTTTGTGGGCCTGATAGCAGACTCACAGTCAAGTGCACCCAAGCAAAGATTCAAATTACACGAAGCATTTTCTTCTCCCTCCTTTTCTCTACCTTTGCAGGGCGGCCAGCAATCGAAAGATCAAGGAGCAGGTGGCCATGGAGCTGAGCTTTGTCAACTCCAACCTGCAGCTGCTCAAAGAGGAGTTGGCGGAGATCAACAGCGAGGTAGAGGCCTACCAGAATGACACGCTGCTGCGGAGTGTGCCCCTCATCCCACTGGGCCTGAAGGAGACCAAAGAGATTGATGTCAAGTTGGTGTTTCAGGTATGTGTAAAAATACGCATAGTAAAATGTTAGAATTGATTATACAGATACTCAAAGCAAAGGATGCACCTGCCATGCGCCTCATTGTCATTCAAGAATAGTCTGGAGAATTCCAATTGTCATGTTTATGTGAACTTAAAGAACTCAGTGTACCAGATTTTATTCAAATTTAACTCGCAAAAGGCTTATTGATCCTTATGTCCCTGAGTTCAAATTGTTGATTTGTTTCTGACCAGAATTTCTGTATGGATGTTCACATACCCTACATATTCACTTACCCTATGCCAAGCAAGCAGCATGCTAATTGTGGGCAGTGGTGGGACTGTTTTTCAACAGAATGTGCACAATACTGTAGTGAAGATGTGCATGTACATGTACATGTATGTATGTGGTTGGAGAGGCTTGTACATGCACATGTGCATTCAGAGGCCAGGCTTTCTATTCAGGGACAGTTGTTGCTCAGAAGAACATTGGTTTGACTCTAAGGCCCCCCAAAAACCCACTTCGGTTTCTGGTCACGGGCTTGGTCCAAAAGTGGTGCAGTGACGCAGCTTCTTTTTTTTTTTTTCCTTTTTTTTCCTTAGAAGTGACGTACATGCAAATATACTTTAGAGCTCATGGCCTTGTAACTTGGAGAAGAGTGAATTAGCAGCTTTGAATTAATAAAAAAGACCATAAAATATGACAAGGAAGAGGCAATGGTTTCAGTCATCTCACTCAAATAAGAGGCTTCTATTCTTAGCAAGATTGAGCTTGTTAAAATACAGTAGCACAACCATGGAAATATTAAATGTGAAAAATAAATGTTCAGCTCCAGTTTCTGGTTTTAAATGAAACTCTCATGAGGTGACATTCTTTGTACATAGTTTTCTGCTTTAGCTTAGAGGAAACAAGTTGCACTCAAATAGCCTATGAAAAAAATAAATCAAAACACTTCAGCTCCAGAGTCCAAATGAAAATAAAATTCTCATGAGGGAAATGATGTTCTGTGCTCATTGTTTTCTGTTTCAGCTTATTCGAAACAAGTTGCATGTAAAATATTTGGGAAAAAATTCAGCTCAGAAAATAAAATCTCTTCTCACTCTAATCTACCTTTGTTCTTTGCAAGTGATGATGCATGAGTTGTTACATGTGTTGTCATAATGCGATGTCCATTGCCACTGCATGCGATGTACCGCCACTGCCTCACTGACACTGAAATAGACTGGCTCCTTATGGTTTGTTGCTTAACGAGCGTTTTCAATTAGTATATGTAAGCAGGACGTAAGACCGTTTCGTTTTTCTGGTTCACAGACGTGGGCCCAGGTCCGAATCAATTGGCTATGGCCGGAATTCTACCGAGTATTTGGCAGCATCCACAACCAGTTCCCATTAATCATGCATAATATCAAGCCGCAGCCAACTGATTCGGACATGGCCTTCGTGTAAAGATACACAAATGACGTCATCTGTTAAGAGTGCCCGACTGAAATGTATGGAGGCCTAGGGGGACTCCTTCACCGTACATATTACTCAACCTCACCCATTAAAAACATTCTTTATTTTGCCAACGCGCTGGTCTACAGTGACGCACGCGGTGACCAGAAACCGGAGACTTTTTGGGGGGGCCTAAACCACATGATCATTGGCATACTTCATCGTGTGCCCAGCGAAAGGTCGTAAGCGCGTGCGTGGAAGCATGATCACAGTAGAAAAAATGTCCCCAGTAAAAGGGCGTCAGAAACATACTCTCTTTATTTAGTAAAAACGGATAAAATTTACTACAAAATCAACAAAGGCTGTGCAAAAAGGCACCTTTGAACAACTTATCAAACGACTTGGGAAATTGTTTTGGAACTACATGTATGTGCAAAGAAATCTTTATATTTCATTAAAATGAAACAGTTGCATAAATACATCCTTTTGCCGGAAAAAAATTTTTTTTTTTGGTGGCGATTATGCATCCCAGCAAAAGGTCATAAGTGCTTACAGCCTTCTTCCGGGCACACGACGACTTGCGCTGTGCCTTGTGTGTGCCTGCCAAATGATAAACAATATTACACCATTCAATATGTACATGTACATTGAGAAATATTGTGTCTTTTTATCAGTGCATATCGTTTTGACATTCCAAACGATTTAACAACACAACAGAAGCATGATGGCTAGGTGACTGCACTGTATTTTACAAGTTAATGATTTTCCAGCTGCTTACACTTGTTCGCTCGCTAGCGAGGTATTGATTTTCAGTTAATTTGTGGTGGGCTCAATTTTTTTTTTTTCCATGCGTGTTAGAAAGGTGAGGCTATTATTAACTTTCTGTGTACGTCAAGCCTGATACATGATATACATGTTTTGGCTAGACATGTTCCTAAATGGATTCGTGTGTTTTCCTCATGAGATTGCACCATGTACATGTACATGTACGCGTACATGTACGAGTACATGTCATGTTCTCTGGAGTCACTTCAGTCATAGGCTGATTATTTTGTTAAAGTGTGCATGACATAAGACTTGATTTGGAATTGTTGGACCCTCAGGGACTTTAAGTTTTCAATCTTTGGTTAACCTCAGAGCATAACTCAAGTTTCAGAAATGGTAAACATGCATAGTGATGGAAAATTGCAAACCGAAGTTATGTGTGTGTCCGTCCTTGGAACCAGTGCATTTGAAAAGGTACATGTACACATTCATGTAACAAATACTGTACATAAAAAGTGCGAGGCAATTGTAAATCAAAATAACATACCCGGTAGTATGTTTTACAGGAAGTTTTTTTCATTTCACAACCTGGTTGGTGATTTCTACGGAGCCTTCTTATTGCCAACTTTTGATTTGTTTCAAATTGATGCATACATGTAACCAATACTGTTCACGTAAGCTGACCTCTTTTTTACAAACATAATGTATCAAGTGGAATCTCATTTGTTTGTTGTGTCCTCTAGTCTGTCAACTGGTCTTTACTGTAAACATACACGTAAGCATTACAGTTAATGTACATGTGCCAATATATGGGAGTATCTTGTTAGATTCTGTAAAGGACAATATATACAGTACGTGTACAGGTGTATTTAACAGTAAGTGTTAGTATCAGTTTTAAGGGTTGGTTGTTACAAAAATCAAGATCTTTATCGTAATGTTTAAAATCTTGTGATAATGTCCTATAGATTCAGAACTTGTTACTCGGAGTCCCAGGGGATACTTGGATGGAAGAAATATGTGGTTAGAATCCAGCTAATCTCAGTAATTCCAAACAGTGGTTGTTTTCAAAACGTCCAAGACTCAAATAATGCCATGTTTTTAAGCAAAAGAAGTTTGTTATCTTGTGTGCTTTGTGTGTATTTTCTCCTCGGAAACAGTCCTATCTAATTCAACCCTAACCCTACCGGTAACCGTAACACCTTTCAGAGTTTTTCTTGGCACTGTGCTGAACCAGATAGAATCCAACATCAGAAAAAGTGTGAAGCCTGCTGAATCCTACAGAATCCTGTAGCTAGAGCAAAAGACCTTTTGTTCACTGCTTACATTCACAAAACTGGACAGAAAGTGACCTCTGTTGGATATCCTTGGGTTTTGCTTGGTTAGGGTTAACCTACCCGGCAGAAATTTTGTCTGTTTAGCATGGTGTTAATAGTTGTGATGATAGGAACAATATTTTCATGTCATTGTGAAATTTATATACACTGTACATGTAAAGCTGTTAAAGTAATGTAAGAAAAGTAGACATCAACCATTGCAAAGGTTTAAAAAGACTCTGGAAGTGTTTAATTTCCCCCCAACAGAATTTAACAATAGCATTGTGAGAACAGTACAGAAACACACACCGGTAATAGGCCATGTGTATGACGTTATATACGAGAACTTTGAGTGGATTGCCATCTGAATCGAAAAAGTCAAGCACACTCAAATGTCAAAATGTCCAAAACAAAAACCCTTGAAAAGCCATCCGCAGTCTTTCCTGTTCAAGATGACCCCATTTATTATTGAGTCTGCCACAGTTTTCATGTGCAGGCACAGCTTGGTAAATGTTCATCTTCCAACTCCAATAATCTCAAGAGGGCTTGACTTTTAAAAATAGCACCAGGTGGGCAGAGCTCTGGCCCATGGCTGTTTATTTATAGCTGAAATTATGCCCTGTCGGACTGTGCATAAAATCTAAAAGCATCCTCATTGATTTATAGATTCAGTTGGGTGTGGTGAAATTTGGATGTGTTTCATAGTGTCACAAGGTTTTTTTTTTGTAATTTTTCAGGGACAGGTGTTCCGAAATCTTGTATAAAAAATCTGAGTACAAGTACACTTAGCTTCCTCAGAATTTTTGCTTCCTGTGATTTTTCTTTTTGATCTTTCAACGCTGAAGTAGTGCAAGACCTTTACTTGTTTGAGAAAGACCAAGAAATTTGCTGTGCTTGTTTAAACGTAATCAAGAGCGAGATATTTGTGTTCATTTGTATTTATAAGGTACTGTGTGATACTGATCTGCATTGGCCCGTCCTGTTTTGTACACTGTTTACACAGGATTACATTCTGGAGCATTACAGCGAAGACGGTGCCGACTACGAACAGGAAATTCAAGAATTTATGGAGCTGAGACAGGTACTGCTGTGTGGCAAGTCTTACTGACTGCCCGAGACTAGACATTGATGCATAATCATATGTACGCGCCGCTGGCAAGGAATTCAGAGAGCACAATACAGCTTATTGTTATGCGCTGAATGAATTCCCTTCGCTGCCTGTGCACACACACGCACACATTTTATCAGCCTCTGTGCCTTTTCTTGGCCATTCAACTGAAAAGTTGATATATATGTTTGAGCAATGGCTTTGAAGAGCTCATGTTAGCAATTTTTTTTTTTTCATTTGAGTCGTACTGCTGCCGTCTTATCTTTATTGTCAGTTGTTTCCCCCTCGTATATTGCGTCTCTTTGGAATCCCTTCTCATATCCACCTGTTTCTCTTCCACTAATTGTCTTTCACAATTTGAGCGAAATGTGAAAAGGTATCTTCAGTCCCCGTAAATTCTGTTTTGTCTTGCGACACGGAAGTGATGCGTAAAGTTTGTGATCTTAAATCAGGGACCCGAACTCGCATCGGGTTGTCTGTGGACACCCTGCTGAATGCAACCAAATACAGCTGAGTAAATGAGAACCTTGTTGATTGTAACGGGATGCAACAAGATGCAACACGGTGTAATTTAGTGTTGTGCGCTGAATACACACGAGCCACTGTGCAGTTACACATTGCAACCTACATGTACATGTATGACAATGGTGTTGACTGCAGATATGTTGACATTGTACATATATGCAACAGCCTTTGACCGTTCTTCTAGTTGATGGCATTTCCTGCATTTAGCGGGGGATAGGGTTTTGAACCTCCTCTTCCTGTGGTCTCTTGTTTGCGCCGAAACCTGGGGAGGATTAAAAGGGGGGATTTGGTTCCATGCAGAGCTCGCAGACCATGAACCTACTGGTACCTAGCGATCAGCGATCCTGTAAATATCGTTGGTGGAGTGCAATCGCCCTTTTGTGCTGGAAAACGTTAAATGCTAAAAGGGTAAACTACTCAGCAGTTCTGGGAGGAAATATCACACTTGGATGATTCCTTTTATGCAAGTGTTGACTTTCTGCAATGGCAAAGTACTGAGCAATTTATGGGCGCTGAGTTGAAAGGTTCAGATAGGTCAAGAAATGCACACACTGTACGCTGATGTAAATATTCTGAAATTTTTATTCTTCTTTTCTCTTTCTCGCTCTTTTTGCTTTCCACTTACCTTCAGGCCATGCGAACTCCCAAGAGGACCAGTGAAGGGGTGGATTTATTGTTTGAATACTACAACCAGCTTTACTTTGTAGAAAACAGGTTCTTCCCGCCAGACAGGCACACCAGCATATACCTGACATGGTGAGGCAGAGAAAAATGTCTAAAAAGAAATACGTCCCCCAAACTTTGTGCCAAGTGCCTCCTTTTCATTTCTATTTACTTCATTTCTTAGGTTGTCACACGTAAAAGACAGATTGTACAAAATCAGATATTGTACACCCAGAATTATATTGAACTGGAAAAAAAGATTTTTGGTCTCCTGAAGTGTGGACATGAGATTTACACAGGTGCATCACATAGTGTCCCATTGTAACATGGCTCACACGGGAATGTCAGTATAAGGCAAATTATTTCAAAAGTCAGTGATATCAGAAATTTCGTAAATAGGTTGTCTATCTAAATCTGTAGGTTGTACATCTGTCATTCTCAAGTGACAAACTGCACCGGCGCGTTGGAGTTGATGATAATAAGATTTGAAAGTGACTGGTTTCTGAATCAATATTTGTCATGGCTTGGGATGGGGGAGGGAATGATACTCTGTGGTACTTAATTACGGTCAGGCTTTTGAAGAAGACCATAAAGTTCTGCCTGAAAATTTCATACAGACATGACGTTTATTGTGAATTGCTCCCCACAGCATTTCTCCCAAGTTACTTCCATCTCAATTTTCAGTTATCTGACACTGTATACAGTAGTGTTGTTGCCGGGGAGGGGAAGGGGGGACACACGCCCCCAACAAATTCCCAGTGTCTCCCCTCCCCCGTACCCCACACTTAAAAAAAACAAACGGATGAATGGAAGGCTAACAAAAGCTTGCCCCCCAAAAAACCACACCACTGAAAGCTGGTGCCCCCATAAGATGCTGGTGTCCTCCTTGTGTTCCCCATTAGTAAAATCCCAGCTACGCCACTGGAATACAGTAATGAACGAAGCTTTGTAAACCTGTATGTTTGCATGGTGGATGTAGCGATGAGACAAAAGTATTGCACCAGTACCATATCAATCTCTTCTGCGAGTGATGTTCTGAGAAGAACCGGTGGACTCGATGTTGTGGACAGTTTGCTCTGTCCAGTGTGAGGAGAATGACAAGGAATGGCAACCTGGAGAGGGTTTCAGTGCATAGGGGTAATTCGAGAAAGGAGGGGTCCAAAAGTGGGACATTTTGGTGTCCCTGTTAGATCTGATCTTTGTTATTTGACATGGAAATATCACCAGAATCCATTTGAAAAAATGACATGGAAATATCACCAGAATTGATTTCAAACGATTACTATTTGTTTGGCAGGTCATTTGCATTGATTCATCACTCTTGGAAATCAGAAAATAAGTTCTGAACTTACAAAATCATATGTCAGATGTGACAGGGACACGAAAGAAATGGACCCTTAATTTCAGGAATTACTCGTAGAAGATCTTAAAGCTGTGGGGTATGAAGAGGATACAACTGTGGGGGGGGGGTCCTGGTGACCATGGGTGAAACATAGGAGCTACTGGGAATGCAGGAAGGCCGTGACCTGAAGCTGGGGGGTAGAGATGTAAATCCAGTTTATTTAAACCTGGTTATGAACAACAGCAAAAATGTAATTTAAGAGCTATTCTGTTAGGAAAAGTGAAAGTCCCCAAATGTGATTTCTTTTCCGCTCTCCAATCTCATCTAGGTATGATGCCTTGACCGGCATTCCCTCAGTCCAGAGGTCCATCGCCTTTGAGAAGGGCAGCGTCCTCTTCAACATCTGCTCCCTCTACACCCAGATTGGTGCCCGGCAGGACCGCAGCACACCCGAGGGGATCCAGGAGGCCATTACCAACTTGCAGCTGGCCGCTGGCGGGTTCCGCTACCTGGCCGCCAACTTCAGCCACGCCCCCAGCATGGACATGAGCAAGCCGGTGCTGCTGATGCTGGACGCACTTATGATGGTACGGTGGTGTGGCGGTGTCGCCCGTCACTCTGTGCAGTGGCTTGGGCCCAATTTTGTTGGAGCCGCTTAGTCGGAAATATTGCCAGCCAGATTTGAATGCTAAGCAAAGAATAGCAGAGAACAAGTCATATAAGTAGTGCAAATTGTATTACTCTTTGGCTGGTAGCCTGTTTTTTTTTAAGCGAATTCTAACTTTTAGAACTTTAAGCTCTGAGAAATTGGCCTCTTCACCCTGAATTATGCTCAGTCCTTTTTTTTGTTAAATGTCCTAGGGGTATTTGGTATTAGTCAAGCTTTCATTTAAAGTCTTGATGCAGCTAGGAAGGATGCCAGTTTTTTGCGGCAAAAACCCGATTTGAGGCATTTTTATGTAAGATGTCGGGCAATTTTCAGGCCATAACCAAGTATATTTAGGTTTCTACAGCCTTATTTTCAGGCTCGGGAAAAGAACCTGACTGGTATGACTGAACTAGGACCTGCCCAACAAGAATTTATATTGTGTCAAAGAGTAGAGGTATCTCTGTAATGTTCAAAGGGGCGAGTCGTGTGTTGGTATGTACATGTCCACAAATATAACATGCCTGAAGCTTTGAACCTTGAAACAAGAAGCCACACCATTATTGATTGGTCAAAGTACCCATTTTATCAAGGAGAGACTGAAATATGTTGAAAGTTAAACAATGACATGAGAAATAATGATCTGGGAAGAATTCCATACTTACTGACATGAAGGATATGTGTCAGTAATGCTGACTATTGTCACATGCCCCATGGTGGTTTGAAATTTTTTTAGTTTAAAGGTTCTCGTGAAGTTTATAAGACTAGACCGGAATCCCTGACAGTTCAGCTGCTCTCACCCAGTACAGTTATTGGGAAAGTAAAATGATGGGTTTCCCTGCACTCTGTTGAATGCTCTCCGTTTGCATCCTTCCGACAGGGCCAAGTTCAGGAGTGCATCTTTGAGAGGAGGGTTCTTGGAGGTGTGGCTGAAAATGTCCAGACAAGTTTTGAAGTAGCACAGGAGGCTGCTGTTGTAAGTCCAGTGTTGGTTTATCTATGTGTGTGACCTACAGTGGGTTGTTTCCTCAATGACTGTCATCTTTGAGCTGACAGTCACCCTCTTTTGTCAAAGCTTTCACAGCTGTGGCCTGTGCTTTGTGTGCTGTTGCTGTTGACGTGTTTTGCTGTTGCTGCTGTTCTGTTTGCTGGCCTGCTGCTGATTTCACTTCAGAGCTGCTGACTCGGGTCATGTGACTTGGACTCGAGTCTCTATTTTTGTGACTTGTGACGTGATTTGTAAATACCAGCTTTGACTTGTGACTTGACTTGTGACTTGACTTGGACTTGCAAAAAATGACTTGTTACCAACCCACGTTAGACGCTACTTGACCTGCCGCATATATTTTTATAAGTCGTAACTTCATAAGTTGACGCCTGGTTCTTTTTGCTGATTATGGCTGGACAAAATAATGTGCTGCTTGACTTGTACTTGGACAAAGAGACTTGTGATTTGACTTGTATTTAGACCAAATGACTTGTGACTTGACTTGCCCTGAGACCAAAGGACCTGTGACTTGACTTGTGTTTAGACCAAATGACTTGTGCATTGACTTGCCCTGTGACCAAATGACTTGTGACTTGACTTGTGACTGGACCTAATGACTTGTGACTTGACTTGAACTTGCACATAATAACTTATGATTTGACTTGGACTTGCAAAAAATGACTTGCTGCCACCTCTGTTTCACTTACTGCTGTAGCTGCGGTCTCCAACGCAGATTCTGCTGTTGCTTGCCCGTGGCATTGCATTCTTTCAAAATGTTTCCAGAGACATGTAAAGTTGTTCACTCACAAGCCCAAACGACAGCATTTTCCTTATTGAGGAGTTATAGATAACCAAACAGAAACGCTGTTGGTAGAAAAGGGCTGAAGAATTTACAGTTCAGAATTTGTGCTAAAAAAGTGCATTTTCCCCCCATGTGGTGAGCCATGTAGAGTTTTACTTTTGTTTTATTGTGATGATAAGCAAAAAGTCTTTAAAATATATAGATGCAGATAAATTTGAGCATGATTTGTCTTTTAAAGACGGCGATGTCTGATTTTGATTGTGGCAGTTCGAAATACATGTCATTTACCAATTGAAAAGATTCAAGGAGCGAGTACGTTCTTTCTCTGACTTTGGCACATACCAGGTTTCAGAGGCTTACTCAAAGGTGCATCAGCTCATGATGCATCCTAAGGTGAAGGATTACATCCCCTATTCCTGGATCTCCATGGTGCTGGTCAAATCGCAACACTTCAAGGCGTCTTCACACTACTATGCAGCTATGGGCTACACAGATAAAGGTAAGATTTGGAGATTCATCATGGGGGGAGAGGGGGAGTGGTCAGGATGGTGGGGAGGATGTCTCTTGACTCTAACTCTCAAGGGCCTTTTACGTTGAACATTGCCGGAGCCTCGAAATTAACAGGCGTGCAGGAAACCAATGGCTCAATTTGTGTTCTCAAAGTTTCACGGTACATGAAGCTTCATGGAAAGCAGTACTTGGCTGCACTTGCATAAGATCCAGCAACTTCTAAGTCATCCTGATGGATTTTGAATTACTTTGGATGGTCAGGGTAAATAAGTTGTGATCCACTGGTTAAGGTATTGTGTGGTTAATGTGACTGAGATTCACAGTAAAAATCGAATGTCAAATTCTGGCCAAAACAGAATCCACCTACGACCAGGCCACGCTGGAGCAAGTCTTCCCCACCGTCTACGACGAACACCGGAGCCTGCAGGTGCCACGCTCGCAGCAGGAGCGGAAGCGGCTGAGCAAGGCCCACATCCGGCAGGCTCTGATGCTGCACGAGGAGGCACTGCGGGTGCACAACCTCTCCAAGATGCTGCGGAAGATTGACACACTGCAGGAGGTGCTCAGGCAGTCGCACGACCGCTCCATGAGCTGCTACACGGAACTGGATGAGGAGGACGACTTCTTCGAGATGATGGACGTCCCTGACATCAAAGGTCAGCTCCTCAAATCCGTCTGTTCTATTCGGTGTTTTCCCATTTGTCAAATAAATCCAGCATGCAGTTCAGTGCTGCGCTAGGAGACATTAGTGTATGTAATTTCAGTGTAACATTTTTCAGACAAATAAAAAAAGGCAGAAATGAACACGGGTGAAAGACCCCAAAATGCGCATTTGACAGAAAATAATACAAGTAGTGAAACAATTGAAAACGAAAACAAAGATGAAACTATTAAACAGCTTGCTATTGTAGTGCTTCCCTGTGCTAGGATTTATTTAATTAATCAAAAAAAAGTGTTGTTTCCCCAAATTCCAAATTAATTGATGTAACGTGTCAGCATGCTAATTAACTGTTGGGTGTCTTGACTCATTTGGGGTCACCACTCACATCCTAAAGTTACTGTTGTTTTTTAATAGAAGCTTGGGTGTTGTCAAGAATGGATCAGTGCAGTTCTTCCTTTTAGTGTTGTTCATCCTTTTTGAATTGTTTCATTCCATAATATCCCTGAACACAGTACACCCTTTCGCCTAATTTAGTTGACCATTCTCTGTGTTCCACCTACTGAAACAGGTGAAACTGAGCTGGTTCTGGAGCCAACTGCAATCGACTTCACAAGAGTAAAAGTCAATGATATCTTCCATAAACTCGTAAGTTTTGGTCCATCTAAGAATATCATCCTCCTTAAAATCTACTGGAGATTCATCCGTATGTCTCATGCCTGTCACATGCTTCTGTCCACATCTTATCCCATCAAAAGAGTAAAGGACAACTTTTAGTGTTCGAACTTTCTGTTCTTTTCTCCATAGGGTCCGCTCGCTATCTTTAATGCCGGGAACAACTGGTCGGCACCACGCATGGTGGACATCCAGCGGGGAGCAGAGGGATTTGGCTTCACGGTGCGAGGTGATTCCCCAGTCATCATTGCGAGTGTGGACCGTGGCTATGTGGCTTCGGTAAGGTCGTCTTCTCAAACATCTGACCAAATTATGGAATAAGCGGGAACCAGTTGTCATAAGACATTGAGCACTAGTTAGCTAGAAGTTCCTCCGGGATCACGTTCTCCAGTCCTCAAGTTTCTGCTGGATTGGTGATCATGTCAGGCTTTGCTCAAATGTGTCACAGCCATTTGACACTAAGTGTCTTGAATGCCATCCAAATCCCAGAAACTTAGTGGACTGCATCAGCAGGATTCCAATCTGTTTGCCACAATTGATGTTGGGGTAACCGATGTACAAATGATTTGTGCATTATAAGCAGCAGACAGCCAAATCGACCTAACCACATTCAAAGTGTGGCTGTGACATTCAGATCATTTTTTAGATTGACCCCATCCCGTAGTGTGGGTGAAGAAGTATAAATGAATGGCACACTCAAATGGATTGCAAACACAACTTGAATGTGCATGGTGTTTATTTTTAAGATTTGTGAATGTTTGTAACAGGCGAGTGGTGTAAAGGAAGGCGATTTCATTGTTGGGGTGAATGGCCAGATCGTCAAGTGGTCTAAGCATGGTGAGGTGGTTAAGCAGATCCTGAGCTCCCAGCGACTCCGCATTGAGCTGGTAACCCCATTGGGCAGCGAGATCTTGCACCCCCAGGACAAACGTCGGCTCAACTCCAGCGACTCGGCTGGCTCCAGCCAGACGGATATGAACGGATCGGTCATATCCGGGTCATCCACCAAGGATCGGCGCCAGCCGTCCCCCAAGAAGAGCGCCAGGGATGTTCCGGACGGTTCCAGGAGCCTGGGGCGTGGCAAGAGCCCCAGCCGGACCAAGAGCCCCGGCCGGGCCAAAGGCCCTGAGACCGTCAACCACCTGGGCAGCAAGAGCCTTCCCCGGGGGGCTACTGTCAATGGGAACGGCAGCACGGGGACAGGGAAGAAGAAAGAACGGGGTAACAAGGGAAAGGCTTCATCCTCCCAGAAGGAAGGAGCCAAGAAAGCACGAGGGGTGTTGAACAGCAAAGCAGGTCTCTGGTAGTTGCTAGTAAAAAAAAAGTGGCATAAATTGCTTCTGTGACCCCTAAACATGATTCCCAGAGGCACTGAAGACCAGGAGATCCCACAAAAAGCTAGACAATTGGGTCACCTACTTTACCTCACAAGTTTACTTTTTTAGATTAAATATCTATGCAGAATTTCCTTTTAACAAAGTTCTTTTTCTGTTTGATAGCTACTATTTTCACAGTTAATGTTTTAAAGTGATGGGATTGATGTTAAAGTCAAATATACTTAGTCCTAACTTATACTTGCAGTTAATTTGCCCCTGGAGTTTTTACAATTAGAGACCTTTAACACTGAACAGAGAGAGCAATTCCTCCTTAGTTGATATGAATCACATGTACTTCCAGTGTCTATGTCTCTCAACCAAGATGAGAGGACATATGTAAAACATGAGAGGTTTACATTTTTCTGCTACTGGATGCGCGCTGCGCATTCTTAGGAAATATTTGAAGGAGTGCCTCCTTGTTACAGAAGGGGGACAAGTCTGAGTTAAGGACCAAAATGAAATTACAACTCATTCCAATTTTGGGCACAAGTGTTTCTTAAATTGTAATTTGTTTTCTAAACTCTGCAATCCAACTGCCCGGCAGATTTTAGCGAGTTTTTAAAATTACGTTTGTCTTTTTATGTGATATTCATTTTGTTGAACCTTGTTGGGAAGCAGGTTTGGGATTAATAAAATCCTGATGTGCTGTAAAAATTAAGAGCATAACTTCAACAATCAAAAAAAGACAATCCTAAGCCGCGCATTTTCCAAAAGTTTTGATGTTCTGGGCAAGCTAACTTTAATATCAGTTACTCCATATCTTGTTTGACATTTCTTTCAATGCAGTAGCTGCACGGTGCTGTTATTTCACTTTCTTGTTTGGTGGATAATAATGCCAAGTTGAAACAGTGGAAACAATGCATATGAAAGGATGAATTTGTATGAACCAAAAGGTTTAGTTTGAACTACTTACCAGGCTTTTTTTTTTCTGTACAGATTGTGGCCTCCCTCCATTTCTAATTTGGTTTCTTCCCAAATGCAGAGTTTTCCAGGCTCTCAAGCTTTTGTATTTCTGTCCAATTTTTTACTACCATTTCAGTCTGATTTTTTGGGAGGAAGGATTTGACATTTTCTGTACATTGTAAGTTCTTCAGAGGCTGAGTTTTGGGTGGAATCCGTGTAGATATGGTTCCAGGTACCGTTCGATGAAATTTATAAAAAAAAAAGAAATTTGGCTAATATATGCTTGAGGAAGGTGATGGTATGATATGATAAAAGCAGAGAAAGGGGGACAGTTTATTTTCCGCATAAAGGTATGTCTAGTTATGGATTTCATAAACGTAAACCCTTTGCTGACCAAACTCCTAAGTTAGACCATTTGATGTTGTTAGCTGGCTTAGAATGGGTCAGATAACTCTGTGGCTTTGTGGACACGTTTAAGTTCTGGTCACTTGTTGCCATGGTCTTTAAAGGGTTACAGAAAGTTTTAATATTAGACTGCAATGCACATAGTTTTCATTTGACATTCCAGTACTGGGCATCACCCCGTCCAAATCCTTGGTAACAAAAGCTGCTTTAATTAGCTTGTACAGTTGGCCTGGTTAGTTTTCTGTTTTCATACATGCCTTCTTGTGCATTACTTCTTGGGAATTACTCTGAATCAAACTTGGTTATTCCTAAAGTTCAAATTTTTTTTTTTGGAAAGTTAAAGTAATGATATTGCAAGCCAAAATTCTCACCGTGAAAATTTCCGATTTTGATTGATGTATTCAGAACTTCAATTTTCAATTGTTTTGGGCTGATACTTTGGGCTGAACAGTAGATTAGTCGTAAAGAATTTTTTAAACATGAATTCAGTATTAAACTTGTACATAAGTTGGCACAAATTTTATAGGTTATTTTTGACGCAATTTTTTGTAACAAACATTTTAGAGCAGAGAACAGTGAAAGCGTTCATTGCCAGCAAATTGCTGTTAAGAGTGTGGCATTGATGGCATGTGTAATTTGAAGCATTATTGTAAAGTGATAAAAATATCCCTGAAAATCTTAAGTTTGAACTCGATAATAATGGTTCTCTGAAGTCTGTCACAGATGCGGAATTGGGGAATATGCATACACTTTTCTGGGGTAATTCCAATTCAAGATTTAACTGTAACTGAAACACATGCACGCTGTTTTCTGTATTGTAAAGAATACTCATACTTATTGAGAAGACCGAGTCAGAAATATTTAGTTGAAAGAATGTGGTGGTAGACTGATCCAGGGAGTCCTGCCCACTGCCCATTTCTCTTCACTGCCACGCTGCATTTCCCAGCTACTCATGTGCATGTATGTCAGTTTGGAGTAAGTGTGAGTATGGTCCTGGCTTTTCATACTTGTCAGAATACCATGTGGTAAGGCCGAATGGATTGGTCTCCAGTACTCAAGTACACCATCTTTTGTCAGGTGGTTCAACACAAGTCACTCGACTGTATCCCTGAGCTTTTTGCTGTAGGCTTTCAGTCTACTACCTGTACGTGTAATCAGTGTTTGGAACTGGCACCATTGGAACTGATATGCTCCATTTCTGTCACTTGTTTCCAAGCTGCTCTGTCGGTTTGCTGTTTTTTTCATTGCATGAATCTGGCTTGCGATTGTTACTGCCTGAGGAGTCTAGTGTCCAGACATGGATTTTGTGTGCTTTAACATCATAGCCATACATGTAGGTAGCCAGATCACTTTGATCATGAGAGCTTTGTTCAACATTCCTGGAGTGGTTTAATGCAGCTTTGTAAATGTGCATCCCTGGAAACAGATTAAGCTATTCACCATTTTTATACATTTTATGTTTAAAGTGTTCTTTGAGGCTTCTTAAATGCTAAGTGATGTAGATGGTTTGCAACTGGTTAGTTTTGGGCTACACAGTTTATTTATATGGACTAGTCTTCACATACATTGGTTTCCATTGCCCTAATCATAGCGGAAATGGTCTTTCTGGCCATGTAGATGTTTTTGCCTGTTTGTTCATTGGAATGTGACTTTTTTCTCCAAGGAACTTTATTGCTGAGCAAAGTGTGGCAGAGAACCACCCAAACTGCTTGCATCATCAAGTGATATTTTGGCTGGTGACTGTTTCCAGTTTTTGTAGCAAGCAGCCTGGACTCATTCCTTCAGTGTCTCTTTAAGCTGTGTGGACATTTTTGCACATACGTAAACGGAAGTGTAAACGGAAAGTGTATTTGGGAGTTTCTACCAAGACTGGATATTTTGTGTAAAGCAAAGCTTCTCATAATGCACAAATACTCCAAAACAAAGCTGAAGTGGCTATCGCTTGATAACCCCCCCCCCTTATTTTTCATTCTTCAAAGTCATCCAAAGTAAGAAATACCTGAAGAAAGCTTTGGTTGTTCCAGGCAGTGAAAGCTGTGGAGTTTGCAATGTTCATGCTTAATCTTGGTATGTTTGTCCAGATAGCTGTATTCAGTTCTTCAGCCTGGTTTGGCAATGATGGTTCACATATACGTAGACGACCGTGGTGAAAAGAATTAGAAGCCACAAACTGCATGTGTCCCTAAATTTTAGACAGTTTGACATGAGTTTTAAGTAGGTTGCAACCATAGTCATGGCATCTGGCAACTCTCCATACAAATGGTCCGAGACAGACATTACATCAAGCTCCAGGCATTTCCCTACGGTGGGATTTCCCACTGTGTAAAAATATTGTCATTAAAAGGAGCCTGCCGCATTAGCATCTGGCAGTCCAGTTTATTCCATCAGTGCAAAGTGTAAAATTATTTTATACAGTATGTTTACATAATTTAACAGAATCGCACAGAGGCTTGTATTGGCAATGTAAAAATCGATTATGATGGCTTATCTGTGAACGTAAGATAAATTCACCTGTGTATTCACTTTATTTAACTGAAAAGTGTAACGGCCCAGTCATGATTTTCATTCAGTCGTTGAGAGGTATTCATCCAATATTCAATCCAATACTCAAGCACATGTACTGATAAATTTACGAACTAACAGTTACGAAACTGATACATGTAAATACAGGTAGCTACAAATCCAAAAGCGTCACCTGGGTTAATTCCTGTAATGTATTCTTTTGCGTAAAATGAATTTGCATTGGACTGAACAGGCTTTGATTTGGAGGTGTGCCAGGTATATATATTTATAGCAGAAAGCTGAAACAGAATGGGAAAAAAAGCCGTTGTGTTGTACATAATTGGTAAATGTTATTATTTTGATACAATAAATCATGCTTATTACACTGCATTCATAACTGATTCCTGAAGTTATAGTTTGACCCTGAGTTTGTTTCTCTGTGGAAGGCAAGATCATCCACTAAAAAAAAAGCTTCTTGAACAATTCTGGCAATCTTCTGTTCAAAAGAGTATTTTCTTGGAAAAACAGCACATGTACTCCAACAGGCTCCTGGGAATTTCCGCAGTGAATTTTTCACTAAGGGAGATCCCCCAATTTATCCAAGCATGGTAATCCACCCTTGTTGGAAATTCAAATTGTATACAGAAAAATGTATATACAGGGCAGGCCTATTGATGTCAGGATTTGTACCCGAGCTGCTGGGGAAGATTCTTAAGAGCCCTTGACTTTCTTGCCCATTTGTTCGATCATGTCCCACATCTCTGGTGTTACCTGTTTCAGTGAAAGAAAAAAAGACACGGGGTGATTCTGTGCTTGGGAGACAAATTTAGGCGGGGATAGTTCCATTTGGTGACACATGAAAAGTTACATTCAAACACAGCTTCATGTCTTAGACTATTTCATCTGTCGCTCCATGAAAAATATCCTTTCCACTGCCCTATTACCACATGCATCATTTGTAGCCTCTTATGCTTCCCATACACCTTACCTGTTTCATTCTGTTAAATTCCCCTGCACTGAAGGGCAGTTCTCCCCCATCAAAGTCGACGCAGGAGCCGTTCATCCAGCTGGCATAGTCACTGACCATATATGCAGCCAGGTTGGCAATCTCCTCCACCTCTCCAAAGCGACCCAGGGGGATCCCCTGCCTCATGTGCTCGGCAAACTGGCCACTGGGATCCAGGCGGCCAAATGCACCCTGTGGAATTGGGTCCAAAATACAGGCAAGGGAAACAGTAACCATACTTGATGACAAATTGAAGACAAACTCCCCAACCTTGCTTTGGCAGCAAGACAGTTGATGAGACCAGATCGATAGAATGAACATGGTCTGCTATTTCCAAGTCACAGTCATAGTTTTGCCCACAAGTGGCTGGTAAAACAGTGGCTGGCGGTCAGCATTAACCATTTCATCCCAGGTGCTTTGAAAAATGCAGTGCCTACATACGGGCCATTTTCAAGATTTTCCATTTTCAAAATTCTTTTAAAATTCATAATTTCATTTAATGACTGACTGGTGGCTATTCCAATCTGACAGGCAGCCTCCATGGATGCCCGAGTATCTCAGCCAGGCCTGCCGCCCAGTAAAGAGAGCCCAGAATTGTGAGGTGTTGCGTAATTTCCTTTGTACCCAGGGAATGCCAATGGCGTCTTTTCAGACGCGGCTGGATTAGTGTGCAGCAGTACTGTATCACTCATCGATGGGGAGCTAAAGCACTTTTGTCCACAGTGCTAATCCGCGGGCGCGCTATGCCGAAAACAGTGGTATACTGTTTCTAAACAACGATGGATGACCTCCGATAAATGCAAGCTGAAAAATGACGGCAATTCCCAGCAGTGCGTCTTTTGTCCCAAGTACGGTCTTTTGTTACAAGGCCCAGCTCTTTTGTCCGATTTCGGGCATCCCGGCTATGCGTACAAACCCAAGGTACCCAAAACCGGGTTCCCCAACAGTATATGGTTAAAGCATAAGACAAATTTACTAAGCGTTAGAAAATCCCATACACACTAAATGAAAGTATGATTCCCCTTGATAAAAAGTGATAGGCCAAATGTTCATTTGGGAGTAAAATCTGACACCAACCAAGGCTGAGGTTTCTGCAAACTTTGGCCACTCATGCCACTAGTAGGCAAGAACCGGATTGCCTTATAAAGGTGTTTACACCAAGGTACACCCAGGGTTTGGGGGATTTGGGGGGTGCATAAATACAGCAGAATCAGGCAACACTTGAGTGTGAGGTGGAAGCTGTGACTACTCAAAGTTTCTGGCTGATGTGGCCCAACTGAGGTTCACTTATAGTGGCTCACACTCCTTGTCAACATGTTCCATGTACGTTAAACATGCACGCTTATACACTGAATCTAAAGTGTTCATTTTGGACCAATTCGTATCTGGAGATGGGAAGGCACTTGGCAACAGTCTGTCACTGCAACGGTGAGAACGACAACTGTGATTATTTTTGAATGAGTTCAAGCAACAATTCTGGTTATCACATTCATTAGTCTATAATGTTTTGGAACCAGGCTGTGGGGCCTGGTTGCATCACTGGTTATTAACTAAGTACAAAGCAAGCAATGACGTCAAACTCGTTGCACAAGATGGCACAGACTGTGAATGCAGGGCAAGTGGCAACCGACAGCAAAATGTGGTGATGATGTGATCATACAAATATGGTTGAGCTAGGGTCATTTGAATGGGACGCCATGGCACATGCACATGGGCCAACGGCAACTGACTAGACTACGCTTGTCACTCCAACTTGCCCTTTAAATAGCTTCCAAAGGAGTAGCAATGCGATGATAAGACCTAAACGATCACCACAGCAAATCAAAGTTTCCCATGGACATGGGCTGATCTGCATTAACCAATGACCACTGCTGCACCAGCATAACCTGTGATCAATGTCACAGCTTTGGAGACAAAGCAGCGATCAAGTGACAAGTGACTAAATTCCACCACGACACTGGTAAGGTTCCTGTGGATGTTCGCTGAAGTCGCAGCTTTCACACGAACAATGACATCCAAACATACGTTCATCATCATCCTCAACCGGAAAGCCCCATAACTACTAGACCGTGTGCCTACACATGCATGCCTTACCTTTGTGTAAATGGGTCCTGGTGCGATAGCATTGAATCGAAGCCCATACCAGCCCCATTCAGAAGCCAATGATCTGAAATAGAAATTTAAATTGTACTTAGGGAACTGAAACACTTGAATCTCATAATTTAGAAAACTGAGAATGGGTCCATCTAAATTGGTTCGCCCCAGCCAAACTGGGTAAAGGGACAGCCTTGCGTACAGTTTACTTGTAAGCAGCACCGTGTATGAATGTATATGCAGGTAACCAAGCAACAGATCCCTTGCACCTGGTACTTGGTAACAGTTCCTTTAACATGGCAAGGAACCACTGACAGCATGTTCCATTACTTCCCCTACCGCTTACGCGGGTAAGCGCGACTACATTCAGTTTGACACCCACGTGACTTTTGTACTTACTCAGGCCCCGCCCCAGTAACCAACCCGCCTTCCTTATCAAAACAGGGGCAGAATTAAATCATTTATTAGGGTGCACTTAAATTAGAAGTCCATTTCAGTGAGGGTTCAATGTTATATCTCAAAGGCTGGAGCATCTGGAGGTAACGTGCTATAAATCTAGCCTCCATCAGTGATTCACTGAGCGTCCCATAATTCCATTGCAGGACAGCGTGAAACTCCAAGGTGAACTTACCGAGTGAGATTCTGCACTCCAGCTTTGGCTGCGGCGCTGGGTGTGACATACCCCGAGCCCAGATGCACATAAGTGGTGGTGATGGCCAGGAAATTGGCACCTGGGTGGGGAATACAATGACACTAGCAAATGAAGTGACAAGAATCATCAGTCAGATACATGCCTGGGCAGAGTTACCATTTCAAGAGTGGATGTTAAAGTGGTCAGAGTACATGTATTAACCCTAGAAGAGCAGGGTTATTTGGACCCATCTCACAACTGGGGGGAGGGATCTGCCCCTCTAAGAACTCGGCTGTGTCTTGCTTGATTTATTTGTTAACATGGCTTGCATGCAAAGACACTCCTTATCATTACAAATTTAAAGTCTGAACTCAATCACAGATACAGTTTTGCTGTTACGGTCATTTGACGTTCATGGCTACATGTGTACCAGCCCGCGTACATTGAGCACCATAGTGGAAAAAGTCTTGGCAAAATGCACGCTGTGCAAGAACGGTATGTCCAATTTTTATAAAATTGGTGTCAAAATGGCCACAAAGAGTTACTCTAAAAACTCCTAAAGCAAACGCTCAACGCCTGAAAAATTTTAGCTTGTCAACAAGCAAAAGCTGGATAATGGCTACTCTACTAGAGGCAAGGGTAACATGGAAACAAGTGGGGAGGGAAAAGGGCAGCTTGAAATAAGAGGAAATGAAGGAGTTTAAAGACGTTATTTATGCTACACTTGAACTCAGACAGACGACAGATAGCGGGGGTTAAGAGGACGTAGGTATTATCCAAAGTGAGGCTGATTGTGGGAGGAAACTGGATGAATATACAATGAAATTTGCTTCCAAGACAGAGACTGGAATGTACCGGTACATTGAAATGAATATTAAAATGAATAGTGAAGTGTGTGAAGCAATAATGCAGTTTGGAGGAACTAGAAAGACTACTGGGGTGCATTCCATGATTCGCTAACTTAAACTACCATCCCAAAACAAGTTACTAAATTAGTACTGATTTTTTTCAAAGCTGCACATATAGGGGACTCCAGCACGTCTGTCCAGAACCATACAGCCTCATCATCTGGTGTTTATCTCCAGTTTCCTTGGCCAGAAATGCCTAAGAGTATCCCCCCCCCTGAGGGGATACCCATCCATTGCAGACTGGTCTCCGGCTTATGCCAACATCCATTTGGGTGGAAAGAGGCACGCAAGGGAGAGGTGATTTACCCAAGTCCACAACCAATGGCCAGTGGCTGGATTCAAATCCCTGACCCTCTTAATGTCAGTCACAAGCCTTTAGCACAAGACCCCATTCCATTCAATCCATGTGACTCATACAAAGAGGGACTGACCTGAAAACTTTGACCGAAGTAGACAACATGTTAAAATGCAAAGAAATAAGAGTGACAGTGGGACAATGCTTGCCTTGCTTAGCTTTGATCAGTCTTTTCCCAATGTCCAGTGTTACATTGAAGGTGCCAGTCAGCACAATGTCAATCACAGCTTTGACGGCATTGTTTGACAAGCGCTCAGTGGGTGCGATGAAGTTCCCAGCAGCGTTGTTGATGACTACATTTGGCAGGCCTCCGGTTTTCTCCACAAACTGGTCGACGGCGGCACTAACAGCAGCAGCATCTCGGATGTCAGCTGACAGGGGGAAGACTGGGTTGCCCGTTTGTTTGCTAATCTCTTTGGCCGTCTCCTCAAGAACATCAAGTTTCCTGAAAAAAAAAATTCTCTTATGCAGTCTTTGGGGAATATACAGATTTACAGTAAAACGTATAAGTCAGACAAAACTGGATTCAACCATTTTTTTCCCGAACAGTGCCCACGTACCACTGTCCTTTGTATACAGCACCAGAGCATTCAATTCAGAATGCTGCACACAAGCTTAGGGCATCCTTTTCTTATTCTATGGTTCTCATATCTTTTTCAACTGCACAACACATGCACGTCCCTTGTTTTAATATTGAGTCCTATGAGTGTTTTTTCCTTCTACTTGGGAACTAAGAAATATTCTTTTGAGTAGACAATACAATACTTGAACTCATGAACTCAAGAATAATTTATGGAACTACCAAAAGTACATGTACATGCAGCTGCTAGCATAGCTTAGTAAAAAAGTTTCAATAACATTTTTTTTTAAAGGAATAAAATGCACACGGAACAAAAACAAGACTGTTATCAAAAATGCTAAAATATCTCGCTACTTTGATGTTTGGGCTAAGTCATATGGCTCATGTCCATTTTCAGTGCTGTTTTTGTACAGGTATTAAATCACACCTTACCTTTTTTTGGCAGAGTCTTATTAGCAGGGTTGGTAGAAAAAAAAGGCTTTTTATTTTGAGGTCGGAAGCCAAAAATACAGTCTGTCGGAAATGAGAACCACAGAATTAAAAACGGGTGCCCTTATGCATGAAGACATGTCCCTTAAATGTATTGCCATTTAAATCTGTATTTAAGTCCACCTCGAGTCCATCGCAATCCATCACAAGTCCATCGTGAGTCCATTGGAAGTCAGGTCACAAACCAACTCATTAGCACAACGTGCTTTTGTCACTGTTCATTAAAGAGTTTGTGACCTGACATAAAAGCGGATGATGCGATGAACTTGTAATGGCAGGTAAAGAATTGTGACCGACTTGACAACGAAGCTTCAAAGCACTCAACAAATGGGCATCCTGGGGTCCATTCATCCATTACATCAGTAACACCACCTGTCCACATCACAGTCTTATTTCCCACCTGCTCGTTATGGCCACCTGTGCACCGAGTGATGATAGCATGGTGGCCATTCCTTTCCCAAGACCCGTCCCTCCTCCGGTGATGAAGGCAGTCTTCCCTTTGAATGAATCAGAGGGCAGCATGGCATCTTTACGTGCTGCCAGGTTTGGGAACTTTGAGTCTGAGTGAGCTACAGATGTTAGATGGAGGTCTCGTCTGTAAATTGTGGCTGGTCTTGGTACGAGCTAGAGCAACGAATAAGAAAATTGAGAATTAGCCCAGTTAAATTTTGCTATTGTACTTTGAAAAATTGTTAATGTCACAGATTGACTTGGAGGACCAATCAACTGATGCATTCAGGACACAGTAACTCAGTTCAAAATCAAATCTTTATCCTTTTCTCTCCTTTTCAAGGGGTTAGGCATTGTTGAGGAAAGCACAGTTGGGCACGGCTGCAATGAGAATATTAAGACTTAACTGCTCATGGCTTACGTTTTGGTATTTTCAATACATGATCAGTAAATGGCAAACGGATTGTTTGATGTATTGAAGTATTCATTTGAGATTTTTACACATGGGTAATTCCAGAAATTAGGGGTCCATTTTTTGTGTGTGTCCCTGTCACATCTAACACATGATTTTGTAAGTTCAGAACACTTTTCTAATTTCCAAGAGTGATGAATTAATGCAAACTACCTGCCAAACAAATAGTAATAGTTGGAAATCAATTCCGGTGATATTTCCACATCAAATAACAAAGGTCCGATTGAACAGGGACGCGAAAATGTCACACTTTAGGAATTACCCACATACTTTTGCTGTCTAGCAGTCAAGAATGACAAATCCAAAACCCCTCAGTTGGAAGTGCATACTTGACAATGAACCAGTACCAATCCACTTCTGTTGGTTTGCCAGCACAGCAACTGAACATGTACATGTACGCACGGTGAATGCTTTGAAGGACTTACACATTTTACCCGAACAAATCTCCATCTAGTACCATGCTTTCAATGTCAATGTATAAATTTGTTTTCATGAGGTGGAATTAAGACCTAGTGCAATTTAGAACTAGATTTCCCTGATGAAACATCCTCCAGAGCCAAAGATCGCAGAAAGGAAAGTCAAACGTCCCGTAATTTAACTTGGATTTCGATCCTGCAGTTGCTTGAATTTAATTTAATGCTAAAAATGTGTTGTTCTTCCAGATTCAAGCCGTATTTAACTACAAACATTTCCTTATCAGAATTTTTTGACAAGAGGTCTCCAACCAAAAAGATCTGGGAGTCCAAATAAATGTACTCTCTCCATCTCAATATGTCCAAGACCCAGTGAAAAAGTCAGAAGATCAGAAGAGCGCTATGTTCCGACACTGTTTACTGGCATGACTGGTACTGATGAGGTGAAAGTTACAATGATTACACACTTCTTTGGTTCAACTTGCATTGGAATATGCATCTCCTGATTGGAATCCAGAACCTAAAAGGATATTGAAGCTCTGCAAAAGGTGCCAAGACGTTCACGTCTGTGTAGTTGGCCTATAACAGAATTTTTAGACATGGAATCTTTGAAGGTGAGGATTAAAGCAGACTTAGTTGACAGGTACCAGTTTCTCTACAGCAGTTATAGATCTGATGTTGGTAAGTTTGTCTTTATCAGACATAAAGCATGCATAAAGTAGGCCTAAGGGGCCATTCTATATTGTTCACTAGGCATGCCATTGCCAGGCGTACGGGAACTAGGCCTAGTAGTAGTAGATTAGAACGATTAGCTGTAGCCCAGGCTGGACGACGTCTTTATTACATTACGACTAACAACCTGGACTAAGTTAGCTCATGGAGGCAGGAAAACAGCCTCCTTCCTCCATGGTTAGCTGGACACTGACCTTTTCGAGAAAAAAAGTGGTCAACTGAGTATTGGAACAACCTGTCTGCACCATCATCTGTGGAATCCTTTTTTATATTGACCGTGTGTTGTGCTTATTAATCATGCTTAACTTTAAAAGGGGACCGTTTGTATCGAATGAAATGAAAATAAAAAAAGTCAGGAACGCAAAAAAATAACTATGGATCACTCTTACCAAGGCCTGCCTCGATTGTTTCCAGACAACTCTAACAAACATGATATTTTGGGTGGTATTAACACACGCCATGACAACAGAAGCAACGCGTGTACATGTGATTAATCCAGGTACTGTCGGCAGAAAACGCCCCCAGCGCTAGCAGGCAGAAAGCAGCAGCAGTGCGTCCTAGCCTGTCATGGTCCGGCGCTCCCACAATACATCTCACCTCATAACCTTACTCATTGAAGATAAGTCTCAAAACTAATTTATTTGAGGGTGCATTCCGTGTAATCGGTAGGTTTCAACGCGCGACCTCATTAACATTTTGTGATCCTTCAGGTCATTTACAATAATATTATGAATCGGAACCAATCAGATATTTTACAAAATATCCCAAAGTTTGGGACTTATGGCTTACAAACTCAGGGTATTTCTCAAGATCTACTTTGCGTCAGGGAGATGTTAATTTTAAATACGGGTTTGGCCCTTACCTGACGTACATGTATATATTTATAAACACTGTATACTCGGTGCTTGTCCGAAAGCTTGCGAAAACATTCACAAGCTTACTCGGGTGGGACTCGAACGCACGACCCCCTGCTTACTAGTGCAGACGTCTTAACCACTCGACCACCGAGCTTGACGGGGTTGGCTGGCCAGTCCGGGTCATGTGTAGCAGGTACCGCAGACTTTTCATGATGTACTTTGCGTCGGGAAGATTTTATTTTTAATTACCTGTCATTTCGTTCACAAAATCCTCCAACCTGTGGACCTATTTTGCATCGAAGGCGGGTGGCTAGATTGGCAGCTAAGCGCATAGTTTTACTATTATTTTTCGGGGATGTCGAATAAAAAAATCGCATTGTTAACCCTTATAAAAAAAATTGAAAATAAAACTGACGTTCCGACCATGATTTTGAATTTCTAGTGAAAATGGGAGGCCAACCTCTTCGTGAGAGTCAGCAGGTGGCGCTCTCCCTCCCTTTGTCTTTCTTTCTCCGACCGATTGTCACTGTTTTCTACGAGCGCGTACTTTATAGTGTAATCTAACCCGAAGGAACGTTGTCTCAGACCTATTAACTTGTGGTATTCCTAAACTTCGGGAATCGTGGAGCTGGATAAAAAACTTTTTCCCGACGCTGTATCTGTTTGAAGATCGTTATTTCATACAAACAAATTATTAATGAATGCAATCAGCATCAGGGATCAACAGTCGTTTTATTTTCTTTCTTTGTTATTGTGAAGTCACATCTTCAATAAAGTTGTATAAATCTCTTGATTATTTGAGCGACACATGATCCTATTGATTTATTCTCAAGAAATATTAATGAATATTCTACTGCACCAAAACACTTGAAAGACTATTTATTGGATGTAAACAATTCGCTGCAAATTAGTTCTTCAATAATTGTGATTTTTTCCTTATGTCCGGACTAAATGTGGCCCCTCTGCTGTATGCAATTCATGGCTTTAATTTCATTTAATTACGTTGCAGATTTTTTTAAATTTTTTAATTCTTATCAGTCAAAAGTTTTCAGCCTGTGTTTTCAACACATGCAAAGTCAATTACTTCTGTTTGGATGAAACAGTACTGAGATATTAATTACTCTAAAGGAACTGGATTTTCTAGTCTACAGTAAAGAGTAGAATATTGTAATTAACAACTTTGAATAAATTTTTTATAAATATTCAACTTGAAAAAAGTATACAAGTAGGAAAAGTAAGAGCCTACTCCAATTAAAAGCTGTCCAAATCTCTAATTTAAATATGGTAAAGAGATTTTAATTTTGTCTTTTTGCTTTAATAAAAAAATGTGTAATTGTAATAATATGAACAATTAGTTAACATATTTTGTTTTACTTTCCAATGCACTTCTGAAGCATTCTGAAATTGCTCGTGTCGAATTTTCCCATGTTGTAAAAATATGTAACTTCGAACTTTCGACATCTTTTAAATGATGCTTAACATTTTAAGAAAGATGTCCTGAAACACTTCACATCTAGGTAATCTAGGTTTAATACAGCTAGTGGCAGAGCCAGGAGATGGGGCGATTCCCTTCCCTTTTTCCAAGCTATTTAAACCAGCCTTCCAGTGGCCACAAGACCACGTTTGCTTGCTTCACTCATACCATTATTTTGAAGGAGTTCAACCTTTTTAAGAGAACAGGTGTTAATTAAAGAAAGGCTCGTTCATAGATATACCACTGGTGAATTGAATTATCCGCGAAGTAATAGATATGCAGATACATATCATGTATTAGGTGAGGTAAAAGAGATTAATGGACATTCTCCTTGCTAATATGCAAGCAAACAGTAAAAACATCTAAATATCACTCTTCGGCCAGCTCAATCTTTCATGCCAATTTGAAAGGTTCATTTCATTCAAATTCTAAAGTCTGCCAGAAACGTAAAACTAACAGTGTGAAAAGAGTGACGATGGATTTCTTCTTTTTAAAGCATAAACTAATTTCTGAGCAAAAAAAGGAGACTACGTTGTATGAAAAAAATGACATACCTTGGGACAAAACACAATCCTCACCCTCAGTTCTCAGCAGAAGGTAGTGAGAAATCTTCTGTGTTTATATTGTGTTAAAAAGTTACGTCATGCGTGTGCCGAAAATACCACGTTTGAAATGTTTACTCTTATTCAATTCGTTCGTCCTTTGCCTGCTTCGTCATTTATCACAGGCAAGCACGAGAGAAAACTATTACTTTTCCTCAGGATGCTCTAATATAGTAGCCATCACTTCAAATAAAGAACTGGACTTGGTCTTGAACCTGCAATAAATGTCCGCTAGATCCTTGTCCAGTTCCCATTGAGGCAGCTTCAAATTGGGTTGCCACCTTCTCGGTTTGAGTGACAGTTTCGTCCGCCGTTCCTGACTTTTCAGGTCCTTTCTGAGGAACACCTCCACCCGGTCCTGTCTGTCCCTTAACACCTCCAACTCGCGAAACACTTTGTGGAAATCGTCAAAGTCACAAGGTGGCTCCGAGGTGAACTTTTTCGTCTGTCGCCGAAGAAACACTGAGAGTGAGGCCACTGCCTCGGCTTTGGTTTGTCCTGCCACTGAGAGAGGAACTGGTCCTCTGCAGATACGGGCATATTGACGTAATGCCCTCTCAACCCGGAATCTTTGACTTGTTGACTGGCTCAGCATTTTCTGGAAGTCTCTGACCACACCGATTACCTGAAACTGGGAGATTATCTTATCCAGGTTTTCTCTTATCTCTTGCGCTTTTTCAAACTCATCTTTAAGCAGGTAGCGGTTTGTGTTAGCTTCGTCTTCATCGTCATCATGGCAGATCAGTGACCATTCCCCTTCCGCAGCAAGCGTCCACTGTTCTTTTTGTTTAGCTTCCAACCTCTCAAGATCCTCCTGGTCTTTCGCGATCATCGGATCTTCACATATCCTCATTCCTCCTGTCAACTGATCAGCCATGTGTCCCCGCCCTTCCTCATCAACTGTAGAATTATTGCACTCTGTGTCATCAGAGCCTTCCATGCACAGTCTCTCTAACATCTCAAATTCATCTTCATTTTCCTCGCAATCATTGCTCCAGGTGTCGATGCATACTTTCTCTGCTATTTGGAGAGTGTTATTGTGGCCTTCGTATGGTTCATCCTGAAATCCCGTCACCCGGCGACCCCTTCGGGTGATTGGCCTAGTGTTCAAATACTCACGGGGTGATGGTGTAAAAGGAAAAGGCGTGTCAGGACATTTGTCGACCACCTTGGGTACGCGTTGGCTATCGTTCCGTGTCTGACATTTGTTGGTTTGGGACTCAGTCAACTCGAGATGCTGAGTCTCCATATCATTTCGGAACTTCGAAGTCGTCTTTTCGAAAGTCTGCAGTGCTTCGTTACTGTCACTCAGTTTCTGCTTCCCTTGTCTTGAGGGGGTTCTGACTCTGCGGGAGGGCTTCGCCTCGTACAGAAGGAATCCGTCAATGGTTCTCCCGCGTTTACGCCCACTTCGGGCGTTGCTTTGTCTTGGAAGGGTGACACTTTGGGGCCTTACTTGCTGCCAAGTTTCTTCTGAAGACTGTTTGCCTCTGCCATCAGTGCTGGCAGAAACGTTGCCATAAATGTCGTTGGTAAGTTCAGCTTCTCCTAAACTGTCAATGGCATCTCCTTGGTGATTGGGACGCTTGGTGTTCCCGTACTTCTCTTTTTGAAGAGGTTTTTGCCCGTTCCTTGTAGCTTCCTGGTTTGTAGGTAAGTCCAAGCAAGATTCCTCATCTTCCAAATCAAACACGAGTAATTCACTTGTAGTAGGAGCAACACCACAGTTTTGCTTCGGGGGACACTGTCTGGGAGTCGGGACTACTTTAGCTGTGCGACGGTTGCCTCTTCCACGGAGGCATCTCGGCAAAAATGACCAAGATCCGCTGCGAGATTCTCTAGCAGAAAACTGACTGCCAACCGTTCCTTCCTGTGAAATATGGAGGTCAAAGAAATAAAATACTTCAGTACCATTATCCTTTTGATTTGCCGCAATTTTTAAGTGAATAAGTGAGGAAAGAGTATACCAAATAATTCAAAGCCTTTAAGATTGCAATTTCAGAAAGTGTCTTCGTGGTGTATGTTTAAAGGCAAGAAGTATTGTTAGTAATGTAGTTTACTTTATTTTGTTTTAAATTTCAAGGACATCGTGATATTGGCAATGGTAGTGCATTTGATAGAAACACATTAACGATAATGTCAATCTCACTGGAGAACTGGCCTGTCAATAGAACAACTGGAAACAGTAAACAAGGGATTCGATTAAAATTAGGCCAACATGTGTTTATAGTCTCGAAATCGTTCTGTTTTGGACTGTCCCAGAAATGTCTTCAATTTGATTAGCTGTTTTATAATCAATCACAAGATGCTTACCTGTACTTTCTCTTGGAATGGCTTCATGTAACGTGGGGCCTTGCCTTTGACCCCAAAGATACGTTGCCGCAGTGATAGATGGTTTTCCTGAAAGGGTGGGTCAATCCTCTCAGTTCCATTTTTGCTTGAGAGCACCTGTAAAATGTCAGAGGCAGAAATAAGCGTAATAGAGACAATAAAGACAGAAAATACAAATGCAGAAAACGCTGTTGGCTTGGGTGAGTTTGTACGTGTGTTAAAATGTAGTACGGGCTCATT